TCTGATGCAGATTAGAGATAAAACTTGCAGGCAAGGCAAAAAGCTAGGTGCTGGCCTTTAGGTTCATTGTGGGAACATTAAGCCTTTCAAGGGATTCACTGAGATGACAGTATCAGGAATGCATATGCCTTCCTACCATGACATTAACAGCTCTACTTGGGGAAGTAGGTTAGGCTCGGGGAAGGGCAAACACCTGTGGGACAAACCACAGCAGGGAGATGCAGCAGAGGCCCCATGGTGGTGTGAAAATTTTCTGAAGAAATACACGGAGATGAAGCACAGGTTTTGGGTTCTGTGGGCATGGGTAAGGGGCAGGAACCCATCTGCCAATTTAAGAATTCATTTTTTCAGCACCTTGCAGAGAGCCATGCAGATGGTCCTGTAACAACACTGTAAAACGTGTTGCCTTGGACTGGGCTTCAAGAGCTATTTCCCTCACGCTGCTTGATTCAGACTGTATCACACACATGCTAAAGGTATGCTGATCAAACAAAGTAGCAGGCTTAAAAATAACCCCAATAGTCAATGGAAGGCATTTAGACTCCCATCAATTGCACAATTTGCACCACAGTGATAAGAGGCTGAGTCTTCCTTTACAGGGTGCCTTTGGAAGGAGAAAGCAGTGACTGGGTAAACGGGGTGCTAGGAATATTGTAGGGACATCAGCTATTTTAAGAACTGTTATAGTTAGGAATGACATATGGCAAACCCTACATTAAGCCACTAGTCAAAGGAACAATTAGAAACGCTCTCTTAAACCTGTCTGTAAACACAGGAGGGAGTTTGATCTGAAGAACTGAAGGGCATATCAGAAGAATAATAAGAAAAGAATGTGATTCATCTCAGTGAATACCTGTAAGAATTATAGTCTATAAAGCACTCAGGAAATAAATTAATACAAATCCTAGGACAAGTAATAAAGCCGTAGCTGGAACATAAAGACATTTCTGTCATCCAGAACACAGATCTGCCTGCCAATTAACTGTACGGGAAATCTAAAAGTAAACCAATCTGTACGCAAATACTGTCGAGTTTAGTCTAAACGCAGCAATATGTTACAAGGAACTGTATACAGCCAGCATATGAGAGATGTGATCTTACGCTGGTGGCAAAATGTAAAACTCTGTAGCGAGGTGAATAGCATGTAACCAGAGCAAAATGGTATAAAGGGAATTCAGACCAGATGTGTCTGTATTTTATGCCAGTGGAAACCCAAAGTGTTCTGGCTAGTCATTTAGGATTTTAGGTTTAATATATCTAATCCTAACCAGACTGGAGGGATGCTCATTACCATTATATGGTGGTGTGCTGGGGGGCGGGGCATGAAGGAGAACTTGATACAGAAAGGATCCCTGTTGCTGTACTTGTGAGAAGGCAGCCCTGGAGGGAAGATGCTCCGCCCTTCTCCCAGGTATCAGAAGGGGATGGAAAGGGGTGCAGCAACCCAGTATGGCAGATGGAGGGGACCTGTGCCCTGCACAAACAGGGAACACTAAGCTTAGCCACAAAGGTCTCACAACAAGCAGGGTAGCTAGTGTCTCATGGCAGCAGTACATAAAACTGCCTTTGCTGCTCCTTATCCATTTCCACTGGGTGGGCTCGGTTTCCAGACTCCATTAATCATTCTGTTTTGCAAACCTTTAACCTTCACATATTAAAACATGCACACACACACACACACACACACACACACACACAAAACTGAAACGTGCTGGAGTTGGGAATGACAGATTTGTGTGCCTTGAGGAAGCACCTAATTCAGACGCCTTTCAAGGGACAGCTCTTGATTTATATAATTACACAGATTCCCCAGGAGAGCTGCAATCTAGCTCTTCAAGGAAGGGGCCTGGGAGACAGGAGATGTGGACTGCTTTTCCTTCTCTCTCACTGATTCACAGAGGCAGCCTGAAAAAGTCACTTGTTCTTGTTAACGCCTCAGTTTACTGTTGGCACCACTGTGACATCACTGTGAACTGCTACATAGTTCATAATAATTACAAAAGGGGCATTATGAAGTCACTCAGCTCAGAGGCTGAAGCTTGCAAACTGCTGTCAGCCTCTGATTGTGACAGTAGCGCTCTTGTGCTGGGTACCATCCAGCTACAATGCACCTACCCCGAGCAGTCTGTGAAATAAGACACACACGTAGGAAAATGCACGAAGAGATGCAGTTTGTCCATGTCAGCGTGGCAAGCCAGTGGCACACACAAGAATGGAGCTTCTGCTTCTATGTCTTGACTAGTTACCCTGCTTTTGAAATGCAAAGTGTCACTCCCTGCGTACTCCAGATGAGTGGCTTGCACAGCGCTAATGCTTCAGGGTTAGTGAACGGTTCTGTGATCTAGCTGTGCTCCCGTTCTAGCCCCAGGGAGGCAGATTCACCCCCAGCCCCACAATTTTTTAAGCTGGATCAGGACCAATCTGGTTCTGATCAAGGTCCTGCAAACAGCTGGGACAGCACAACTGAGAGCTGGCACTGGGCTCAGAGAGGAGCGACTGGCACTGTCACCAAAGTACCATCTAATCAGAGCATGGCCTCTTAGGGCCCGCATAAGATACCTTGGCATTGCTCAGAACAAAGCCAGAGCATATAAATGACTCAGTGTGGAGACATTATCCCTACATTAATGGGATCACTGCCACACAGAGAAGGGAATCCTGCAACAGTTAAGTGCCACATTCGCACACTCAGCATGGGCCATTAGCCACCTTTCTCCACTGTTCACTACTTGCCCCTTCTCAGCCCAGATGTTTGATAGAGTATCAGAAGGCATAAAAGGGACATGAAACGTAAAGTTTCTCCGTTTGAACTACCTGAGACTAGTACTTCAACTGTGCTCACATGTCTGCCCTGTAAAGAGCTGCAGGCTTTTAGGTCTTCATTGTTCCAAACAAAAGCTTTCTGGTGGGGGTGTGCTTCATTATACATTGGGAAACATCGACTATTGGAGAAGGAGAAACTCGGGGCGAGTCCCAAGTCATCTCTAGGTCTTAGTTTTCCATCAGTAAACTTGGTGTCCGTTTAGAAGAGGGCTGTAGGGCTTTGTTAGCCATTGGAGAGATGATTGCGCAGTATCACCTTTGCTTCTCAAGTTATGCTGATCAGCTGAGCTGTAGCAACTGTACAAGCTGCTAACCTAATTAAAGTGCTTTTGTGTTTGTGACCTTCCTGGCATCAGCATGTTTTTCAGAGTGGAGAGAACCGGGAGATATTTCAGTTATATATTGCAATTTTATATTGTATATTGCAAGCATTTTATTAAGCATTTAGTTTTGGGGAGGATGGGGTGATGAGGCTATGAGACAAGAGGACTCCGTGAAGCAGAAAGCCAAGGGTCCCCACATGGCTGCATGGCCTCCATCTGCTAAGCAGAAGCATGCAGTGAGGCCTGGAGCGCAGCTTCTGAAGTGGGGAGTGGGAAGGAACCACACCGCAGGGCTGGGCACAGGACTGGCTGCAGGGAGTAAAGATTACTAAAAAGGTGGCAGCTTGGCAGTGTTGTAATAATCACTCGGAGTTTGTTTCAGAAACTGGATGCTTGAGGGACCTGCACCCCCTCTACCCCCTATTCCCAGAAGTCTGTCTCCGGACACTGTCGTCAATCTCAGAGTTCATTTCCTGGTTAAACAAACAGCAATTAAATAACACAAGGCAGGCAACGCCTAGAGACACTGTCTGAAACTCGCCCTAGACAGGCCATGTGACACTGGGGTCCCTGTGTTTTGTGTCTTGGCTAAGACATATTAATCATAAGGGAATTACAGCCCGTGACAACGTGTGTATGCAAAGGGAAAGTGGGCCTGGCCTGCTGGGGAAATGCACTCTGCTTCTTGGCACTGCGGAGCCAGGCTTGTCCACAGAGGACTTGTTGGGCAGCCAGCATTGGGCCAGGTTGGCCCAGAAAGAAGCACACCTCCTTTCATTTGCTCTGCTATGCCTGCATAGAGAAAATGAGAGAGAAGAGAAGACGCAGTGTCTCTAGTGTGTTCCTACAGCAGTTGGGACAACCAGGAGAGGCACATCATGATCTTCAAGAGGTTTTCACAAAGTGGTGCCAGGGGGAAAGGAGCAATCAAATATTTGCTCCCAGCAGGAAAGTGAAACTAAGGAAAAAATGTACGATCTTTCTAGTGCACTCTATTAAACTTTAGTGTAGTTCTCCAAAAGTAAGTGATTCAAAGCATGCTCTCCGGCACCCATCAGCTAAAAGGAGCAAAGCACTAGGAGACATACCCTCAGACTCCTGGTGCTAACGGAGAGATGGATTAGATGGCTGAGACTGATGAATAGTTCACTCTCTGTATTTCCTTTGGCTCTTGCAATCTTCAGTTGCCTCCCAGTAAAAGTACACAGAAGTAAACTAAAGATGAAAAAAAGGTCACTGTGACACTCTTCATTTTCTATACATGAAGCCTCATTCATTTAACCCATCATCATCAGGGTTCAAGGACTTTTTCACTTGTATTCACAATTGATCAGATCGTAATCCTCCTTGGGGTCCATCATCCCCAAGGTGAAAACTCACAGAGCAGCAAGGGGTCTTTAGTCTCCTCATAGAAACAGAAGCCTTTCTTTTGCTCATGTGTGCAGTCAATACTGACATCTGTTTGCAACATGCTTTGACTGGCTAAATACATGGTATGAGCCCCAATAGCCATTAAGCTAGCCTATTCAAAGTGAAGCACTTTCTGCTTCTCTGACAAATTTTGGACCTGTAAAAATCAACAGAAAATTTCTCTCCTTCTTCAATAAGAACATCTTTTTCAAACTTCACATCTGCCTTAGCAGCTATTATATTATACTGTATTACTAGTATTTGAATTGCGGAAACACCCTGTCATGGAAAGGACTCCAGGATACCAGACACTGAACAACAAAGAATAAAAGCCCGGTCACTATTTTTACTGAAGGAATATGTCAGTTCAAAGTGCTCTCTAACACTGCTTTACTACTTGGAATGAGACATCTCTTAATTGTCCCTGTTTTTTGCTGTTGACAGAAAGAAGGCCAGTCCAGAGCTTACCTCATTGCCCAGGAGCTGATGTCTTCAGAAAAAGTGTGAGTTCATTGTTACAACCTATCTGTTGCTCTCCTAAAACTGAAGCTACGCAATCCACCCTTCAGCATTGGTTTGATGGCAATTAATAAAAATTTGTCTCTTTCCCCAGATACGTGGAGATGCTCCAGCTGTTATGTATGGTAAGCAAATAATTTCAATCATTGAAACCTAACTGCCCTTTTACTTAGCTGCAATTTAGAAGACATAAAAGCATTGAAGGGACTGAGGTGAATTTGATGAGGAATGGCTTAGGTGAACCATTGCAAAGGAGTACGTCTGCCACTAATCTGATCTTGCTACAGATCCTCAAATCTAGCATTTGTCATTCACAGGGAAAAATGTTGGCCAACAGTGCTTGCTGGGGCTCTGACACTGGTGTAAGATGCAGAATAAGCCTAGTGCAGAGAAGGAGATGGTGATAAACAGGGGGGAACCCTCTCTCTTCAGAGAGAGGCAGATAGGAGCAGAGCTGTGGAGCATGGGGATTTGGTTTGAATGGATTCACTCTGCTTCCTTTTAAGCTTCTTTTTTCTGATAACGCAATATCAGTGATATCCTGCATGCCCTAGATATCCACACTGTGACACAGGTAGTTACCATGGGCAAAATACAGACTCTGGTGTCAGAAACTCATGAGAGAACACACACAAAGAATCACTTGTAGTGCCTGATAGAGAGCTCTTGCAGTGTAAACCCACTGGTGGCTTTGTCCCAGAAGACTTTGTGTCTTTCTAACAGAGCTGCCACTGCTTCCCTGGAGACTGGTACATACCTCTAGGAGATAAAAGTGGCTCGCTAACATGGCCTGAAAAATCTTCACTATATAGATCCAAATCTTGCAATGCACTTCAGTGCCTTTAGCCACAGCATGAATGGCTGCACACCCTCATGACAGCTATCATCATGTTATTGTCTGTGCTGCCTTGCCTGTGCTGTTGCTGGGCCAGGAAAGGGGTGGTTCAGGACTTTCCCAGTCCCTTCAGGACTTACTTTGCCCTTTTCTCCTTCCTCTGATAAATCCCTGTGTGGTGAATCTGGCTCTGAGGCTATGTGTGTAAACGAGTAATTAATGCATTTTCACAATAATCCTATTTTCTGCCTGTAGAAATCATTTGGAAGGAAAAGAAAATGTCATTTTTGCTCTTTTCCAAGTTGGCAACTTTAACATGGGATAGGGATTCTGGGTTATGTTTTTGCTAAAATCTTTTAGTTTAGAAACACTTATGGATGCAAGTGCATCCCTCCAGCTGGGTGGACTCCAAACTGTTGGTAATCCCTAATAAAAAGAATCTTCATAAAAATTACAGCTCACAGGTTAGGTAGGGAAAACCTCTGCTTGCTTGCTAATTTTATCTGCTGCAGTGCTCCAGAGCTGGCTCAAAGATATGAGGGAATGAAACCATAGAGTTTTCTTGGCTTAACTACTCCTTGCTCTCCTGTTGGGGAACTCAGACATTTTCTAAGCAGAAATGTTTATTACAGAAAATAAGTAACATTACCTGGCCTGCCAGTCCTGGAATTAAGGTTTTAAGGCATGAGGGAAACTGGCTCTGTTTTAATCATACTTAATCATTAGGTTTGGATCAGCTGGTTAATTTATCAGGGAAAAGAAACCAGTAATAGCACTCCTGTGACTGGGCAAGTTCTTCTATTTCTGTCCGTCATCAATTTTCAGTGGAAGCACTTACTTGGTCTTTATATGTTTCAGTCCTGTAGTGGAATATTCCACTGAATCCTATTTTGCTGGGATTTTGTTTCCCTGCCTGCCCATCCCACTGGAGTAGAGGGATCTAATGAGTCTTTTGCATATGCTCATTATTTCCTTAATAATGAAAGTCAAAGCACCAAAAGAGGAGTTAAAATTTCAAATTAAAATAAGAGATGGGTGTAAAGTAAACCCTTGAATGAATGCATTGGTTTACAAAGTTAAGCCACTTACAGGTTGTGAAATGTCAGAATCACTGTAACCATGCCCTCTTCACTTTCCCTGTCCCAGTTCCCATTGTCTCAAGTTAGAAAGTTCAGAAAGATCTGCATCAATTTTAGGATGAGATTTTGGGTGCACAATTTTGATTAATGATTTTCTTCTGCAGTGGAACAGTATCCTTCTTGCCTCATCACCAACTGCATACACTCCTTTAGGGGCTACTTGAGGCTTTTTTCAGCAGAGTCAACAAGCAAGTTTCTCAAATAAGATTTAATTGTTTCTACGAGTTAGCTTTCTAAGTCGTGAGGATGTATGAATGCCACCTGGGTTAGACACTGTGGGAGACTAGAGGAACAGCCAGTCTGTTTTCACACTTGACTGCTAGTTCAGGCACTCCTTAGTTTAGAAGAGATCAAAAATCTTTATGGGAACAGGACCAGAAGGTTCATTTCTGTGTCTTATCGGGTGCCTATAGCCCTAGTACACCCCATCCCTACTGCTATAAGCTGATGTCTGCATGATAGCTACCTGCTGCAGTGCCATTCAGAAATAATCTGCAGGTTTCTCTGTTGCAATCAAGTTCAATCTAGAAAGCCACAGTCCCAGCACTGTTATCTTTCCCACCCCAGCTACTGTTGGATCTTTATATTCACCTGTTGCCTAGTGTATTATTCTGGAGATCTAGAGAAACCATTACCAATTTTACAACATGCAAGTCCCTCAAACTACAGGGGTATTATTGCCTAACTGAGGCTTTTCAATGCTGTCATAGTGCAAAAAGTTACAATGAACTAATTACTCCTTTTCACATATTTGAATACTGTTAGGAATAGTCATATCAGTAAAAAATTGTGCTTCACTGTGCACTCGCTGTTGACACAGGTCTCACTGGCAGATGTCACAAGCAACTACCAGTGACCACAGAGTCACCAAACTGCCCTCAAGGTACAACACCCCATTCATGGCCAGTTAGGACCAAAGGCTTCTTCAACAGCATTATCTCAGCTCAGGCAAACATACCTCTCTGTTCCCCATCACCAACTTCCTAAAGAAAACAGTTTCTAAATGCTCATCTTCAAGTCTCAAGTCTCATCTTCTTATATAAACCCACATGTTGGTAAGAAAGGCAAGGAACTAAACCACACCCTGGCTGCTTTCAGAAAGGAAAAAAGGGGCTTTTCTTAAGCCTGCAGCAGGAGCAGTTTCCCTTCTCATTTCCAGGCTTGGCTGGAGCTGCTATTCATTCAGCATAACAGAATCTGTTTGGCCTTTCAGCAGAGACTTTAATAAATTGATTGATTGCCAAAATGATGACATTTCCATACACCCACTCTGCTATTGAACTGAAAGAGTGGAAACATTGTGTTAGCTCACAAATTTGATATCAGTTGGTGTGGTAGTAGTGATAATAATCTAAAGGGTTAGCTGTTATTTACCCTACTCAAAGGTAAAGCAATTCTCTGGAGCAGGGAGTTAAGAACTCATTCTGGACTGAGCAGATGGGACTGGCAGGGCCTTGCAGTCCAAGTCCCTGATCTCTTGGTACTCACAATTTAGTTTTCCAAAGTTGATTAGGCTTTGCATTTCCTTCAGGATCATTTAATCCTCAAATTTTGTCATTCTTTTCTCCTATTTTTCTTCCCCAGTAATGCAGGCAGGTTACACTTGTCATCTTTTTCTTAGTGCTTGCTCCTGAACAAAAATGCTGCAGGTTGCTTTCTCAGGCTAATGTGTCACATACCACCTTCGAGGACCAAGAGGTTTTATTTGGTTTATTTGCTTCCCTTCAGCCAGTCTGTTTCAAATTACTTTACTAGATATACACAAATCAAACTTAGTGTGACTTAGACTGCCTCAGGATTCCAGTCTGTATGGGATCAACCATTTGCTTGATAGTGTACCATGTTCGCATTTATTTTGTCTTTGGCTTTCGTGCATAAAGTCACCTTTTTTGTGCATAAACTCCTTTAAAGTCATTATTACTTCCCTCTGAGGCATTTACTGAATTAAGGTACCTTAAAAGGACAGGTCTGCACTGAAAAAACACCAGCCCAAACACCTCCCTGGTCAAACAAAGTTGATCCTGTTTTCTGGTTTGCATTTTCCTCCTAACAATGGGCCACAATTCTTAGAAACACCAAGACCCAGATTTATGTCTCCTCAGCATTTGAAGATATGGATATGAATATGATACGAATAGCTATAATATGTGCTGGTTCTCCAGCCTTTGGAGCAGTTTGGGATCCAACCCTGCAGTGGGCATCCCAAGGCTTCTGACTGCAAAATACATCTTAGGAAATAAAAAAGAACAAAAACATGTTAGTGCTCAAGTCACTAACTGAAAGGTACCTAAATGCAGATTATCATGAAGTCAGTCTCACTAATTAAACTCTACTTTCAGAATTCTTGTGGGCAGCATGTTCTCAAGAATAAAAAAATAAACATCTGATTTAGGAGCCACTATTACATGTTAGACAAAACAGAACTCCATCTTTCTAATTATTTACACTTCCAGTGAATGATTGGCTGAGCCTTTTTTACTACTGTAAATTTCTTGGATGATGTTCAAAGTTCTGCTGGACCAATCAAGTCATTGCTTTCCTAATTAAATGCTTTAGTGAATGGAACGTGCTGGCTAAATGAACAGCTAGCTGGCTGTTAGACCCTCTGAAGCTCTTAGAAAAGCCTAAAGATGCACTGTCACAAAAGAATAGCCTGCCCTTACTTACAGTAGGCTGGGGTTTTTTCTCCTTTATTTATTCATTGTTGTCTTCGTTGGCAGTGAGAAAATAGCTGTGTATCGGCCAGGGAGCTTCTGCAGTGGCAATGTTGAGCCAAAATAGCTTTCAGATAATCTGTGTATCTCTTAAAAGGAGAGGGAAGTCACACTAGCATGTTTGGCGTCAGGACAATTCCCTGGTAATGGGCCCACCGATACAGTATTTGCAGTGCATACTCTACAGCTTGCCAGTTCTGAAACTCATTTGCAGTGTTTTGGATGAATGTGTGTGTTTGACTGCATGTGAGTGTGTGTTGAGGTCAGGGTTCCTGACCTAGATTGTACCCCGCAATGGCAGGATAAGAGACTAATTGTGTCTGCTGCGAGAGTCGTCTTTGCTGTTCATCTGGCATTGTTTCCGCTGAGCTCAGTAATGAGAAATTTGGGAAGATCACTGCCCAGTGCAGATCAGGGGTCACTCACTCTGCTACAGG